AGCTTCATGGTGTGGATGATTTTTAGTGCTCCTTCTGAGCTTTTAGTAAGGGTCTACTAACTGGGCACAAATTCTTGGATTGGACTTGGTCAGATTCTGCTCCTGTCCCCCTGTCCACTATCTTCTTTTCCTTACCCTCTTCCTTTCTCTTCTTTCTGCTGTGCCCGTATTTACCTTCGTGTATTTTATTTCATAGCTATTAATGCAAATTTAAAACGACACTGCCAGTTATTCACTGTTCGTGAAAGATTCTTTTCATTTTTTGAGGACATTTTCTAAAATGTAAAATAAGTGTGTGTATTTGTAACAAGATAGCTTGGGGTTTGAACCACCGATAAAGTTAAAACAGCATTTACATAAGATGGAGTCTGTGATGTTCGTTATGTTATTTTTTTGTGAGTGGGTTTTTGGAAGAACGAATCTTGAATCTCTAGGGGAGGAAACACTGCTTTGTCTTCATATTTTTAATTGATGTGATTCAAAAAGAAAACTCTTTGATTACACGTCATTGGTGATGGCAGTGCTAAAGTAGCATCCACCTTAGTGTTGGTAATAATATGCTAGCCGTCTTAGAATGACCAACAGGGAAACTTGGAAGCATCCGAGTGAATGGATCCATTCCTGCTAACTGTTGTGCTCTGTAGGTAAACACGGAAGAATCATAAGAGCTGTGTTTTTGTGTAACTTCTCTTGTACCACTCTTTGAAAATGTTGATCCCGCTGGATAAAGCAAATAAAACACAGCCACGATCAGCCATCCCTCAATTGTGGGTTACTTTATCATTAACAGCGTACCCCTCCACTTTCAATTTGGAGCGGTGATATTGTATACATCCAATACATTTCCTCCATAATATCCTCTGGCTTCACGGGCACATGTTTGCACTTTCCTCTTGTTAAAATTGCAGACAAGAATAATTTTGATTTATTGGTGACATCTAATATAGCTGTGTTTATATTGTTGCCAATAAAATGACTTCCATGATTGGGTTTTGTTTATACAATCTTTTCTGAGGAGTCAGTCACCTGTGTTAGGACAAGGTACATTCTGCTTATTAAAATGAACTCCTGGGATCTAAGAACATTCAGCTCCATGTGTCCTTGATTGCATTGCCAAATGTGCTTCACATGGTAGCCGTGCGTGTGAATAACTTACATTATCTAGCAAGAGGTCTTTCATTTCTATATTCTTCTGGCCACAAAAGCTGTGACAAGAGAAAACCCATTGGGATAGCATGGTCTGCTTAATGATCAGGACAACCACGTTGAAAAAGCAGTGTTAATGAAATTATACAATCATTAACTCAGAGGGGGGAAAAAAACCCGAAAGAATCAATACAAAGTCTATGTTACATGGTTTAGGCCTTACATATCAGCTGGCTCGGGAGAAGTTTGTTTTGCTGACCAGTAGTTTGTTTCTCATTATTAGGTTTTCTATGCGGAGTAAGAAATGCTTGTGGCGTGAGGAATGGAAAATGTTAACAAAGGCTAAATGTAGCCTAAGGAAATGAAATGATGTATGAAAATTAATAATTAACTGGCTCATCAGATGAATTATGACTCTAGATGAGTCTATTAATGATATTTACCAAGAAAGGGCCTTTGGCTGTACACAGGCATTAAGGAACTCCTGTTTTTGGAATTTTCTTCAATGGATGACTTAACATTGCTTTTTGTTTGTTTAATTTTTAATCCTTGAGAAACAGGCCTGGAACCTTGGGGAGAATGTAACGTCATGATTTTATATTTTGATTAAAGTCATGCTTTCCCACAAAGCAGGTGGAATTATTAAATGGTTTTGTGCCTTAGTTTGTTTAGGGGGTTTAGTAATTTCCTCTCAGACCTGATTTACAGAAGTGTGTGTTAAGAGTTCCAAAGTGCTCAAAAGAAAAGATTTATTAACTCTTACATTGACTTATAGCGGCAGCATGAACATTTTCGTTGTGTAAACTGACAGAATATTAAAAATCTCAGTGTGTCAGTGTGTCAGGTATCAGATTCTCTAAATTCATACTTCTGGGTCCTTCTGGCTCTTTCTTTTCCTTCCATGGGAGGCTTGGGACAGAGGAGTAGGATGGAGGAGAGTCAGGAAGACACTGGAGCATTTGATCAAGTTTTTAGGTAAAATGAGCTCATCTCATTCAACACTATCATTTATTTTTCTCTTCTTTGTACTGATCAGTCGAGCTTTCAGATTTTGAAGTCTGAATTTCATCCTAAGTTCGTTTTTCACGGTTAGTGTTGCCTTTTAGTACATTGCTGGCAGGAAAGTTTTCCTATCAGCTCTTTCTTTGACAGACTTTACTTGCTTGTTTTTTTTTTTTTTCTCACATCTCCACCAATATTGGAGAATCACAGATACAAAAACTTGGTGTTTATTGATTGTAGTGAGTGGACCTTTTGAAATGATATTCCTCACCCAGAGTACCCAGGATGCCATTATTTTAAGAGAAGGCAGTGTTTTTAGGGAACCTACTCAACCTTTTATGGATGAAAAAGTGCAAGTCCAGAGAAGTGATGAATGATTTGCCGGAAGTAGCATTCAGGTATCTTGACTTTTTTGAGTGTTGTTTTTACTCCAACTCTGTGTTGTTCTTAAAAGTGAGCAGTTTATTCCTGTGGACTTAAATCTTGATCGTATGAGCTACCTCAAAGGACTGCAAGAGTATTGTAACCTAAACAGAAAAAAAAAAAAAAACAAATAAGCAGATTTTTTTTTTTTTTTACATTCTGGTATCTAGTTCTTTAAAATATCTGTTGGCATGATGAATGTGAGGGTTGGAATTAGCTTCGTTTAGTCTGATCTTGAAGCTGGTTTTGCTTGGTCACAACCATTTTTCTTTATATATTAATCACTGTACTGTCAGGATGCTGCTTTTGACCATGCAGTTTAAGTACAAGTTATTGTCGCTTTCACCTTCAAGATATTAACAACAGGCAAGACAGACAAGTGTAAATGCATGATTGAGTTCTTAGTACTCTAATTGGTATTTTCTTCTTTCAGACTCAACTTCTTAATGATTTGAGCACAGTGCTAAGTACTCGTAGGTGTTTTTAATCCAGACTTTTTAATGAGAATTCCTGCTGATATATCATTTTGCAGCCAAAAAAAGACTCCCTCATTTTTCAAAACCTGGAAATGGGCACAGTCTGCAAATCGGCAGACACTTGTCACTTGAGCCATGGTCTCCATGACTCATAGTTCCAGTCATATTGGATAATTCTTTATTTTCAAGAAACCATCAATATGACATTTATTATTATTATTATTCCTTTTTCTTCTGTTGGGTACTGAATTAGTGCTTTTTTCTGCAGGGTTCAGACTGCATGGAAAATGTATATTTTTTTCTTTTATCAATGAGTGAAGAATAAATGGCCAGTTTTATCTGATAGGGCACAGAGACATTCAATGATAATTGCTCAAGACCAACCAATGAAGGAACCAACATAGAAGCTGATGGTAACACATTTGAATTCTCCTACATGGACCCAACAGAAAAGGCAGTGGGATTTTTCCAGTGTAAAAAGAAAAATGTTACAGTCAGGCTGATTCCGTGCCTTGTCGTTCCTTTCACAGACTTTAACAATGCAAGTTTGGATAACCTGAACTTGTTTATTTATGGGGACTGTTGAGGAAGGGGAGTATAAGAGAGGCATGGCTTAGAAGAACACTGCCGAGTATTTCCTAGGACTGGGTGACATGCTGGTGTTAAATGTCACAGACTGATGGAATTCTTAAGGAAATGTATAATTGGCAAAGGTGAAGAAAATATCCCAAAATTTGTGTTGTTAATTATTGTTGAAAATCCTCAACAAAGGTACACTTGCCGAACTGTCCAAGATACAAGGGTTGCTTACAATTAAATATATATTTTTTTCTGATATGAAAGAAAAAAAAATCCTTTATAAAAAGTTTTCTGATCTATTTTTCTTGATGACTTATGGAGTTATTTGTTTGGGAGCTGAGTTGAGCATATTGATCTGAGACCTTGAGTGAGTTGGGTAGATGCTGTGGGACTCAGCCCATGGAAGCTAAGTGGTCACTGCTGCATTGCACTCACTCCTGATCTGCTGTGTTTGGGCAATGCTGGCTTGTTCTCAGGCCTGTCCTAGCTATAGAAAAGACAAAGTGTGACTGTGTCTTCCATGGATTTGGAGTGGTTGGCACTGCCATGCTAGTCGGCTACTTCAACTCCTGCATTTTGGGGAGCTGTTTATCCTGGAGGTGGAGCATCACCTGTGTGCTAGGTAGCTTTTTTTGGGATCATGCGCCTGCATGGTGAGCATATTGGACAGCTCACTTTTATGAGGGTAGTTCTTTATGTTTTCCAGGACACCTTCGGCACAGCTTCTACCACCACCCCTCCTCCCAGGATCTTAACACTAGGCTAATATATTATGTGTTGATTCTGTTTCCATTCCTCTAAGCCAGGATTATCATGGAACCACAATTCTGATATTGCTGTGAATATCTGAATATATGCAACTGGAGATCTAGGCAATATTTCCAGGCAAGACTTTCATCTTTTTTTTTTTTTGAACTTAGAGATTATGAAAATCCTGCTCTTATAGTGATTATGAAAACACAGCTCTTAACAGTGAAAATCTGACATGGTTTCCCTTCCCAGTACTCTCATTTTTGAGGCTGTATCTGCTCTCGGAGTGTTTATCTTTGAAGCATTGCTCTTGCAGCTCATGAATGTGGTGCTTTTGGGTTCCCTAAGACCCGTAGTGTGGACAGACCCTCTAGGAAGCACAATTAGCTGCCTTTTACAGGCTGGCACCTGTAGCCTGGCTGTAGTTGCCAAGAGCATTGTATTGAGTGGGTTTTGCCAGCAAAGAAAACAACGTAGTGTTCTGTAATCCACGCCTCCCATGAACCCCAAGGGGCAAGAATGCCTGTTCGTGAGCATTGTATTGATTGATTGAGTGACCCCGTTGTCCACAATAAGGCCATTTTGTTGGGAGTGCTTCTTTTCTTCGTGGTGTACCTTTTGTTGGTTTTTACTTTTAAAATGCCTGTATTTGTCTTTTGAACAGGCTCATAAACCATACCATGGATAACTTATTGGACTTGGCCTGAAAGGAGTGAGTAGTGCCACTACTGGCCATCCTGGCGACAGGTTTTTCAGAATGAATGGAAGGTCATGCAGCATGAGTCTTCACCGGACAGCAGGAAACACACAGGGGCCTGGGATGCTTAGTGGCCAACATGGCCCTCCCCTCCGAGGTCACTCTGGGACGCCCGGCCCAGTGTCCTGTGGCAGCACAGCGAGCCCCGCTATTGGAAGCCTTGCTAACAGTCTCCATCTCAAGATGCCTTGTGGAGAAGGGATGGCTCCTCAGAACAACATGGTTGAGAGCCCCATTCACCTGCCTGCCTTGAGCCCCAGGAGACAAGTGCTCACCAGTGGGAAGCCCCGATACCAGGTCACTCAGGCCGGAGGCTTGTCAGGGTCACACACTTTAAAGCCAAAGCAGCAGGAATTTGGAAACCCTTTTCCTTCAAATCCTGGGAAAGGTAGGATTTTGTTTCTGCATTTTTTTTTTCAAAGTGAAAGCTAATTTTTTTTTTCTTGCCCTAGTGCCAGGAAATCCTAAGGAAAGAACAGATCACTCAATGTCAGGGTCAGAATGGATGGTCTCATGATGACATATGGCTTTCTCAGTAAGCTCTCTGTGTGTGATGTGTGTATGTGTGTGCATGCGTGTGTTTGGGCAAAGGATACATGTTGGTAAATAAGTGCTGAATATCAACTTGGCGATGTCTCATGGGACTGGGAAAGAAGGCAAGCAAAGGCAGCGTGATCAGAGATGGAAGGATGGGGTGGCTAGTGGTGACAGGGTGGGAGCAAACTTTCCAAGAGCCTTCCCTCTGGGTACATATAGGAATGCTGAGCCTCACTGCGGGGGGCGAGGGGCTGCCTTCAGGGGGCCAAAGATGAGGAGGGTGACTGGAACTGTATTAGAAGTGCTGGAAGTGAGGTGGCGTTTGGAAGGGAAAAGATGCAAAAAGATTTTAGTAATAAATGAGGAATCAATCCATAGAAAAGACAAGAAAAATACTTGGAGGAAATGGGTAAAAATGGCCCAACTCCCGGAGCCATCATCAGCTGCCTGTTAGGAGCTTCATGAACAGGAAGCTGGACTCCTGAGGGGAGTTAGGACTGAAATCCAGGTAGTCTGATTGGAGGTATGGTATCTTAACCACTAGGAAAAATGCTTAGCCTCAACTGCCCTGTGTTTTAAATTCATGGAGAATCATTAAAGAATAGCAAATTACTTTAATGATATACTGCATCTAGAAACTGGGCAATGACTAAATGAATTGCAGGCTAGAGTGAAAAAGATCATGTGTCCATGTAAAATATAACTGTTAAATAAATCAGCATAATTATGAATTCCTTAAGGTATTTTTAGCATTTAGTCTTAAATGTTCCTATGAAAGGTGTTTGCAACACCACGTAGAATTACTATTAGCCATCTTCTAAATACTCATTCACCCAGTTAAGTAAGGTGTGTAATGATTTACATTGTTTTTATGTCTGGTTAATCCTATTTACAGACAAGTTGATAGAAATGGGCAGAGTCAAAAAGTGTCCTGACACAAAGCTGTTAAATTCTCTTTCTTCTTTATTTATTAATACCTAGCTTGGGTTTTGAGGAGTTTTATCTGATATTAAGTATGTGAACGGTTTCCTTAGGGGAAACACCCCAATGAACTGTGACATTGCTTGTTGCTATGTTCTTGATGTGGCAAGCTAAGTTCCTGAATATGAAACTTAGGTGTTTGGGTTCCTGAGCCAGAGTCCCAGTGAAATCTTCAAGTTCATGCTTGACTAACGAACTGTAACCTGCTTTATATGTACCATAGCTGTGTTTGCAATCCTGACAATGGTAATAGCATTAATAACTTGCATTTGTTATATCATAACTTAGTCTGTGTCAGTCATTGTGTTAAGTGCTTAACAATTTGTAATCTCAGGTTTTGTTTTTTTTTTTTTTTTTTTTTTTTGTTCTCTCATAACAGCCCTGAGTTGTATGCTCTGGTTGATTGACCTGTTAATGTAACAGAAAGTGTAATCAACTTCATTGTCACCAACCAGTAAAGAGATGGGAATATTTGGTGGAGATTAGAAGTGGCTATAATCTCAGATTAATATAGTTAATGCTTAAAAAAGTGGTTAGAGTTGTAATTATGGTAAAAAAAAATGCTTCTGATATTGAAGAGAGAATGAACTCTTGGGGTCAGTACACCTTGGAATGTATGTAAAATATAGGAATACTTCCTGATTCTTGTTTTTGGCTTCTGGCCCCTTGAGCTTCCCAGTATACACAGCCTGTTCTGGGTCTACACAGTTGGACACAGATAGAAACCAAGGGTGCTGCATAATTAACCACTCTAGCCTTGCATTGTAGACACCATTACTACTGTGGATGGTGCCTGAGATGGCTGAATGTGTTCTTTTCAGTTCTCGATGGACAGTTCCTAAACTCTGCTGTAGTTATGGATGATGGTGATCTAGGACTGTTTGAACATATTGCTCACTTAACAATTCATTCTTGAGTCTACCTGAGTGTATTATCAGGAGATAGAATAACCAATAACACGTGGTGCTTGCCTTCCAGGTATGAAGGAAGTCAGACAAATAAATTGGCAGTTAAAGTGTGGGGAGCTGTCTGATGGGGATGTGCTTTGAGTGACAAGGTGACATCAACTGGGAAGGCTGGGGAGGGCAACCTGTGCTTGATTCGTGGCTCAGGAGGGCAGAGAGCTGTGTACACATACACACGTATAGCCTTTTATGGAGACATAGATTTAGTAGCAGGATGATGGAGAGAAGCACATCTGAAGATCTGCCTGGTGAGCAAGTATTTTCATTCCACTTGAAGCCCCAAGTTCCAGAACAAGGAGAGTGGACAGAAGAGTCCCTGTTGGAAGACTGGTGGGAGGAGAGGGTCAGTGTTTCAGCCAGAATGCAAAATCCAGAAGAAAGCTGATGCCCGTGTCCAAAGGCCATTAGGCAGGAGAGAATTCTCCCTTGGGTGGGTGGGTGGTTGTGAGGGTGGAGGAGGAACCTTTTTTTTTAGGGGGGGGTCATTCAGGAAGAGAACTTATTTACCCTTATTTGGTCCATTCAGAATGGTCCATATTTGAGTGAGACCCATGCATGTCTAGGGAGGGAAGTCTACTCTGTCTCCTGATTTGAATGTTAGTCTCATCCTGAAGCACCTTTGCAGGAACACTCAATGTAATATTGAACCAGATACTTGGGTATCTTGCAGCTCGGGCAAGTTGACAAATACTCTTAGCTATCCCATGAACAGTCATTGCTTTGTGATAAGGTGGTGCAGCTTACATGGGAGCCAAGAAAATGCATTTTCTAAATCTGGAGAGTGGTTACTCTGACTCTTAGGAATGCAGTGGGGCTGTGTACAGAGAACGTACATTACCGAAGGACTGTCAAGCATGTAGGCTTCTGACTTCACGTATGGATTCTCCTCAGTGCAAGCCTTTTGAGCACAATGCATTGGATAGTAATATTCGTATGACTGAAGGACTGAGTTCTGCTCCGTTCGAAACTCAAGTAAAGGGAGTTGAACATTAAAGGATGTAGTTTCTGAAGAGTGCCTCAAGATCTCCTGGGGTGCCACAGTGACCTCAGGGAATCACAGGCTGTTTTAAAATGCAAAGGAAACGTCAAGGATCCGTGGCATTCTCTCAACACCGGATAGATGCTAGCTTGAGGAAGCTGACAGGTTCAACAGTAAATGGCAAACGTGCCCCTTTGGTGGTGTCATATCTTTGTGAAACTACACTTTGAGTAGTTGTGGTTTTAAAAAGCAAGTGCTTTGTGCACCCATGTTCTTAACAGGGTTATTCATAAAAGCCCAACTGTAGGAGCCATCCAAGTATCCATGTATAATGGAACACTCAGCCTTAACATGGGAGGAAAATCCTAGGGGAGGTGCATTTAACTTAATGGCTAAGACAATCATTATCGAATGTTTGTGCCCCAGATCGGGGGGGGGGGCAGGATGGAGGTAGGGGTAGAGCAAGTTAGACACCTGGTTCTGGCATGTGGCTCCTGTATCCTGCTAATACAGATGGTGGGAGGCCGTGAGGAGTAATGGATCTCATGTGTGTGGGAGAGGTGGACCGAGTTCCTGTTTCCTGGCTTGAACCAAGCCTGGCCGGGCCCCAGACACTGCAGCCATTTAGGAGGGAACCCCAGTGAGTGGGAGTTGTCTCTGGTATGGATCTGTCTTTGTATCTCTCTGCCCTTCAAGTAAATATCTAAGGAAAAGCATTTTAAAAAAGATAGGAAATGGTGACACATGCAACAACAAAGATAAACCCTGGGAAATGCTAAAAGAAGAATGTCAGTCATAAATTGACACTACTGTGTATGATTTGTCTTCCATGAGTTTTTTTTTTTTTTTTTTTTTGCCTCATCCTGGAGACAAAAAGACTGGTGATTGTCAAGGTTTGAAAAAAGGGAAATAGGGAGTTAGTGTTTGATGGGGAGTAGGAAAAAATTCTGCAGAAGGGTGGTGATGGTGATAGCTGTACCATAGGAATGCATTTCCTGTCCTTGAACTCTACGCTTATAAGTGATTTAGACAACAGATTGAATACTCCTTATATTTGCCACAGTTTTTTTTTTTTTTTAAATCAAGTAATAAGTGAAATCAGCTTGGAGCAGGAAATGAGGATTGGTAGCATTCATTCTTACTGCAACATGTGTCAAAGTAGTAAAGTGAACATTCGAAACATATCCCATCAGAAATTATGGCAGAGAATGAAATCAAAATACCCTGTTTCTTTTCATTAATATCTATCTTGCCTCCCAAGGAGCTTTCCCAGGTGCCCTGCCTAGTTATTCTCATGTAAACTAGTTAATGATTACATAATTTATAATTTTTTTTTGAATAGGCTCATTCTTGGGTCATGGGTTTATCTTTTTCTAAGCTTATACTATTTACCTTATGCTATTTTACATTATGCTCTATTGTTCTCATTTTTTTTCCAGTGCTCAAATAGTTACAAATTTGCCTGATGGGTGCCTCTTATGGTCACTTCTTATGTCTTCTTGCCATGTTCCCATGAAGCACCAACTTGCTTTCAGGCATAACACAGTGTCTACTCTCCTTGTATTTCCTTGCCCCAGTCATGGAATCATTCATTTTTCCCACAATGCTCCAGTCTCCCTCACAGGGGAGCAATATTTAGAAAGCCGCATGTCACAGTGTCCTTATTGATTCTTGGGTGTCATGGCTGTTAAGCCCTTGCTGTGGAGTTAAGAAGTGTATTAGAAAAAGAACGAGTCCCGGTTGAAACGCAACATTGCTGTGTTTTTCCATGTAATTCCTCATTGCACGCAGTATCTGGGTTCCTAGTGACTTTATTGTGTTTTTATTTGCTCTGTCCTACAATCAAGCTACTTGCAGTTTTATGTTTCTGAGATATTAAAAATTAGACTTAAAATTGATTGTATGTACATTCTCAATGTACCCAGA